CTACTTACATATGTGGTGCCCTCTCCTCTTCTTGGTTACATCCCCAGTGCGAAGAAATAGCAACAAAATCCTCAGTGCTAGCAAGTTCTTTGGCAACCTGCTCCATGTAGTGTGGAGAGCTGAATGTCAGCTTGATCATTCCGTCGGAGCAGGTAACATCTGTGAGCCCAATCTCCAGGTCCTCCAGCGAGAGAACTGGATGGTTGCTTCGCACGTTTAAAGTCGTGTAAAGTACCGGTTGGTTTGAGTCGGCAGTGACATGAGCAGTGTGGTCAACAAAATCAAGATTGGCTTCATTTCGTAGTATTCTGCCAGACTGGCGTTTTTGAAGACCACCATGAGGGTATGCTGGAGAGAGATGTCGTGCTTGAACAGAGTCCCATGATTTTAAGGCATCTCTTCGCGAGGGCTTGGGGGTTGCAGCTAATGTGGAAGAGCTAAAGAGCGTAGATATCGCCAGCAGGGCGGAGACGGGTATCTTCATAGTGGTATTATATACTACTTTTCCCCCTTATATCTGAAAAAAAATATCGTAGTGCGTTGAATATGGGATTATCCACTTTCAGATGGAATAGAAGCATCCTTTTAAATATAATCTCGTCGTAGTAAAGGGCGATACATCCCTTGCTGACTCTCACTCAGCCAGCGCATGCTTTCTAAGCCTCAACCTGGTATATTGGACAAGGGGCGCGCCGTCATTGATATGTTGGGCATAGCTGCGGATGCATACTAACCGCATTCCATGCAATATTTTGATATGTCAATGCCCATGTTCGGCCCCATTGCAGGGCTTGCGCTTCCGGGAGTCACTGTACTCCGCCCTCAAACCCCCCCGGCTTCAGAGCTGGGGTAACAGGGAGTACTGCCTGCAAGGCAATTCGAGGAGAAGATACCATAGATTCGAAACGATGAGGGGTAAGCCGCCAAACTGAGGATGGTGTCATGTCTGCGGGTCATGCACCTTGGTCGCTCATTATGCTTCGTATTGCAAGGGATCAGGCGCAGACATATTGACAACAGCGTCGAAAGGAGTTACATCTGAGACGTTTGAGCTGTCAAGCCTGTATCTAATTCTGACCAAAGACTTGTAACTAATAGGTCAGGTAAATGTTGGATGGCTAACCCCTGGTTCATCATGCAGTGGCCCTGGCACATGGTCCCAGAGAGTTACCCGTAACCTATTCTGAAAGCGGAAGCTAACTGTAAATTGAAGCCGCTGATTGGACGGATAATATCGACGGATGTAACAGTAGCTATGGAGTCTGCTTTAAATAGAAGCCTGAAAGTGATTATTCTCATGCTGATATTTCTCAGTAATAGCAGACAGATATAGCTGCCGCATACTTAGTTTAAAGGTTTCACAGGAGGGATATCATGAACATTCAACAGTAAACACCGCTATTCGTATGGGCTAGTTACTCCGTAGTTAGTCAATGTTGGTGATATTCATCATTTGTCCGTAAGGAGCCAGTGGAGGAGCAGCTCTGTGGGTATTGTTAGCTTCAGTATCCTAGGGAAAATGACCGATGATCAACGACACGGGAGAAATAACTAGTTAACATGCGGGAGTATTGACGTTACCCAGGTCAATAAATCGGCTGTACGGAGTAGAGGATCCGAGATAAACAACATTTTTCCCAAGGAGAAAACTCAAAAAAACATACCAAAAACATAATCCACATTTAGATAACCAAAGAACTCCATAGTATGTATATCGTTCATAATGTAATGTCTATTATTTAACCAATTCGGCAGCTTTTTCTTTGCTTTTTATGCAACGCCGCCTGAAAGATGGAGTACAGAAATGCAATAAACAGGAAGCACAGAAAGGAAACAGCCAAGAAAAAAAAAGAAAAAGAAAGGGAGGACATCTAAAATCTCCAAGGACAAGGAATAATAGTATGAGAACAGCTGCTTGCTTTCGTGTCAGTGTATAAAGGTGGTGTGCGTATTGTATGTGCGCGTGTGTCATGAATAATTAAAAATTAAACCATTTTCATCCTCGTTCCAACTCGTCCGGTACTGACCTGTAGCAGTAAACAATGTAATGTACGCACCAACAATGTATAGGGAAAAAAAGAGAAACAAGAGGTAAAAAAGAGAAAAAGCTACCAACTCCAGCCTTCTTTTGAGCAATTTGTTCACTTCTTCTTTTTCTTAGGCTGTGAGACGCCTTGTAGAATGTGATCGAAGCTTGCATCGGGGTTATGAGTTGATGATCTTCCGGATGGATCAACGGGGCTAACTCCAGCGGGTAGTGGTAGGGCTTCGAGGCCCATGTATATCGAGGAGCGTTACCCGGGTTTCCAGCACCTCGAGC